TGGTATCGGTAATAAAGCGAAGAGCTCTATTCTGGACCCTTTGTAACCGTAGCATGTTGGTCTTTGTTGTTAATGACATTGGGACACAAGGGTATTCGAGTATTGGTCTTATTATCATTTTATACAGATGTTTTTTGACATGTTGAGGGGCTTGATTGAATCGAAAGAGACTGCTAAGACCGGCTTTGGCTATGTTGATCTTTTTAGTTACATGAGATGTTGAGTGGAGCAGCCTGTCTATTTCATATCCCAAGATCTTGTTAGGGTTTCTAATGGCTACAGGAAACCTCTGATGGAGATACCCCCTTATCTTCGATGGTTGATGCAAAACATCCTATCGTGCTAACAAGGACCTTGTCAGGATTAGTCGTAATTCTCCATTTCTTTTCCCAATTAGATGTTCTACGAAGTTCAATATTCATTTTTTCTATGACTCTCTCATACTTGTATTTTCCTGTTACCGGAGTTGATGAGACGACATGAATAACATCATCTGCAAACTGTGTCACAATTGTATCATTAAACTCTGGTTGAGGAAGGTCATTCACATAAATGTTTGAACAGAATTGGACTTAGACAAGAACCTTGTGGGACACCAGCTGTTGGTATAAAAGACTCTGTCGACTTGCCATGAAAGGTGGGAATGATTTTTCGTTGAGTTAAGAAATTATATATTAATCTGAGAAAAGTCCAGTTATGGTCTGGTAGGTCGATGAGTTTGTATATAAGCCATCATGCCATAAGCTATCAAAAGCTTTATGAACATCTCTGTGGCAATTAAGGCAAGATTGCCCTGATGTTTTAGACTTGCTACAGTATCGAAAATAACATTTATTGCATGATTGGTACCTCTATGTGTTCTAAAGCCAAATTGTTTTTCAGTAAAAAAGTGATTAAACTCCATATAGTAGTTCAATCTGTTGGAAATGACTTTCTCAAGAACTTTTCCAGTGACTTCAAGTAAAGATATAGGTCTATAGTTCCCAGGTTGGTGGATGTCTTTATTGGGCTTAGCAAGAAAGATCATCGTAGCAGTCTTAAAAACAACTGGAAAATGTCCTGAGGCCAAGATGGCATTAAAGATATTTACCAAAGACTGTTTACAATTTCTAGGTAGGTACTTTATTTGTTTGATTGTTATTCCAGAGAGGCCAGGGGCTCTATTTCTCATTCTTCCAATAACCTGACTTATCTCTAGTAATGTAATAGGTTTAGTAAGCGGGTGGGTATCTTCAAGAGTTGAAGTATCGATGGAAGGTAGTGGTTGTAGATCATCCAAGTTCTCATCTCTCCATTCATTTACCAACTGATAATGATTATTATTAAATTGACGACTGTTATTGTGGGAGAGAATTTTCTCCCATACATCATCCATCAAATTAGCCTGGTCCTGTGGATCGTCAAGTTTAATTTCAACATCTTCATCATCCTCATCAGTGAAGGTATGAACTAGGTAGTTAGGAACCTTGTGCTTTGCCCCTAAAAGTTGTCGGATCTTACTCCAAAATTTTGCTGGTTCACGTTTATATTGATTAGCTTGAAGAACTAGAAATTTCCATATGTCTCGTTTGTGTTGACTAATCATGTTAATTAATTCGTGCCTTAATCGGTGCAGTGTAGCTGCTGGTGATTGTCGTGTTTGAAGATGCCTTCGACATTCTGCTTGATAATTTCTTAAAGTGTCTCTAATTTCCCTAGTAGGTTTATATTGTTGGTATATCTTTGTGAAAGCTAATTGGCAAGTTGCACTAGTAGCTTCAATTATTCGATTATGCAGGGACCTGATTGCATCATCAATTGCATTGGAAGGTAGATTTTCCAATGACACAATTTCATCCTCACCCAGATATGCCCTGAAGGGGTCAAATCCTAGGGTGTTAAGATTGGGTTTAGGAGTTACAGGTATTCTAAATGGAGAAGTTTGTAGTTGTATTATAACAGGGATATGGTCAGATCCTACATTTCCACCAGGAGATATACGACAGTGAAAGATGTCACAGTCTCTGTTTGTCAGTACTATATCTGGTGTCCCTGGATGAGGTCCAATGTACGATTTAAAGAATGGGCCTTGAAATGACAAGTTTCTGGCTGTCATGATATTAAAGAGTTGTTTTCCTTTTAAGTCACCCAGTGGAATACCAGCTCCACAGTTGAAGAGGGCAGGGTGATGAGCATTAAAAATCTCCAGCTAGAATTGTTGGAATATTTCTGCTTAATATCCTATGTAGAGGAATTGACTCTATATATGGTTGTCTCGGGGGAAAATATCCAGTTCCTATCACTAGTTGTCCATGAGACGTTGTCATTTCTATTGCAAGAATGTTATCTTCATCAACATGAATATTTTTAAATGTATAGCCTAATTTAACTAAGATGGTTACACCACTAAAGGGTCCTCTCGATTTCTCCACAGTAGAGTAACCACGTAATTTAATATGTTGATCAACTCTTGCAGCTGTCTCGTTCAAAAGTATAACATCAGGATTGTAGTTATGTAGTTCAATCAACCTCAAGAAGGTAACGGTTATTAAAGAAATGTTGAACATTAAGTTGGAAAATTGTAATCCCCATTATTTCTTGCACTTCGCTCGTGTACTGCGGTCTGAACGCCTGCAAGTAATGTCACGTGTTGTATCCACACTATCCCTGCTGGACTCATCAAGGGGAGGAGGGAACTTCTGCGTAGTTGCTTGTGTATTAAAAATGCCATCATCTTCACTAGAGGCAGTAATATTAACAGACTCATTAGAATCGTTAGAGTCATCATCAGAAAACTGAGGTATGCTATTCCCAGTTACAGGAAGCAGAGGCTCGTGAGAGTTAATGGGAGACTGTGGAGGCTCCAAGGGAATATTAGGTAGGCAAGGTGAGTTACCTTGGGAAAGTTCCTGTTCAACAGGATCAGCTTCTATAGCGGGAGTGTAGGCACCAATTTCTGGGGCATTGTTATGTTCAGTTGTTGACTTATCGGGTTGAGGGGAGTTGACAACCTGGGTTTGCGAGGTGGGCGATCCCTGGGCCAGGGATGACTTAGGCTTATTTTTAGATGTAGAGTATGGTACATACTTCTTGTTATGAGAAGGCTGGGTCATAATAGCCTTCACATTTTCTGGGATAGTGATGGGAGTGATCCCATTAGCCATTAACAGATCATTTAAAACCTGAGAGCAGAGTTGAATGTCACCACCTGCTATGTCTTTGGCCATCATGTACATTAGTTGTGCTCTCGTCATATCCCCGGCTGTGGATACCTGAGACATAGGAGATGAGACTGAATCTTGTTGTTGCGTTTGTGTATGTTGTAAGTGAGGGTTAGATTGGGGCGCTCCAAGAGGGGCAAAATTCCAAACATTGGAACCATTGGTAGAGACCTAGGAGTCCCCACTTGATCCAGGCAGAGCTGGGAAGGAAGTTTGGGACATCGTTGGCGGTGCCTGGGAAGTGGTCTTCTTAGAAGTGGACAGTTTCTTGGCTTCAAGAATTTTCTGCATTTCCTTTTTTCTTTCAGGACAGATAGCAGAAACAGCATGATGTTTTCCATTGCAGAGGACACATTTGGGTGTATTTTTGTTGTTACAATCTCGATACGAATGTTGGCCAGAGCAAATGCTACAAATCTGCCCTTGAGTACTGCATTTGTTGTGATGACCAAAGGCATAACACTTAAAACATTGTGTCACACTGACAAAGCGTTCAAGAGAAATTTGGTCAGGTGTACATCTGGTGCCAAAACATTTGAAGCCATTTTGACACACAAGTTTGGCCTCCTCAGGTGTCTCAAGTATTAACTTTAAGGTTACCTTGTTGTTGTTAGGATTCGAGAATTTATGTGCTTCTACAGCCCTAAATTCAGAATTCTCTGTATTAATGTCCTCCACAATTTCATTCACTGTGCTATGCTTCATGAAACTGTTGATTCTGGCCACAAACACAGTCCTCTGAGCTTGATAGCTCTCAGGTGCAACTGGGGTAACACCAGAAGTCTTCAGTTTTTTACAAGCACATCATGCTTCAGCAGTTGAAGTAACTCTTCTTCCGAAGAGAGGAGAAGTACTGCTCCAGCGTGGGTTTGAAAAACATCCACTGGAGCAACAGTTGAGTTGGAGCAAATACATGTTAGAATTTCTTTCATTGACATTTGATTACCATCAATGCGTAATCTTACACGTATCCTCGCCATGATGTTTAGGAAGGAACATCTGGCAGAGGAGTTTCGTAACAAAAAGGGATCTTTCCTTAATGTTAACCTAACATCCTATTTCAGCTGACTTATGAAGGTCAGCCCCTAAGATAGCCTACCCTCGAGTAGTGAGGGGAAAGGGCCCAAGGCAAAGATCGGCCGGATTTTAAAAAAAAACCAGACGGGCTACCGGATGGTCAAAATGCCTTGTGTTAACTCGACAAAGCGAAGTTGCCGAAAAAGAAGAAGATAGGAAAGTCAGAAGGATAGCAATGTATGTAGTGTGTTAAGTGTGTGGGCCAGTGTTGATGTTTGGGTGAGGGGAGGATGGGGAAGGATGGGGGGATGGGGATGAGAGGGGTGAACAAGCAAGCAAGTCACCGGATGGGATGGGGCTCGAAGTGACTGCAAGCAAGTTTCCTCTCAGCTCTGGTGAAGAACTACTCAGGATAACCCAAGAAAATTCTTGAGCAACAGTGTTCCGAGTTGCTCAGCTGAAGAGCAGGAACGACGACGTCTTCTCTCCACGGTGGCTGGGCTGCTTCCATTTGTCTTCTTTTCTTCATTTGTTCAATCAGTCCCTTAGTCTAGAAGAATACTGAGGGACTGATAACCTTATCTAAAACTGTCTCCAGTGAATATAAAAAAAATCGGGTTGGCGAAACATATTCAAAATAAAGATTCCCAGGTATTGCACATGTAGCTAAGTCATCAAGTTGTTGGTACTGTATAACAGTTAGGTTAGATTACTAGGTAGTATGGGCCAGTAGGCACTCTGCAGTGCTCGTATCTCTTACGTTCTTACGTTTTTCTCCGACAGAGAGCGGGAAGAGAGCCATGATGGAGTTCTACGTCAACACACTGACCAGCGACTCCGACACTGGCTCCGACTCCTCCACCACCGCCTCCACCACCGACTCCGACACCGACAACGACGACGACGAGGATGGTACTGGTGGTCGTTCCTACCAGGTGAGTGTTCCCTCCATCCTTCCCACTGGTCGTTCCTACCAGGTAAATGTCCCCTCCATCCCTCCCAGTGGTCGTTCCTGCCAGGTGAGTGTTCCCTCCATCCTTCCCAGTAGTCGTTCCTGCCAGGTGAGTGTTCCCTCCATCCTTCCCACTGGTCGTTCCTGCCAGGTGAGTGTTCCCTCCATCCTTCCCACTGGTCGTTCCACCATATCTGACTAGAATTAGAGGGAACCAAATTAGATAGGTGATACTTGGCTTAAAGAGGCGATATTTGACTGGGAAAGGCGATATCAGACTGATGTAGGATAACCATATCTTTGCTGGAGTTTACCTGGAGAGAGTTCCGGGGGTCAACGCCCCCGCGGCCCGGTCTGTGACCAGGCCTCCTGGTGGATCAGAGCCTGATCAACCAGGCTGTTGCTGCTGGCTGCACGCAAACCAACGTACGAGCCACAGCCCGGCTGATCAGGAACTGACTTTAGGTGCTTGTCCAGTGCCAGCTTGAAGACTGCCAGGGGTCTGTTGGTAATCCCCCTTATGTATGCTGGGAGGCAGTTGAACAGTCTCGGGCCCCTGACACTTATTGTATGGTCTCTTAACGTGCTAGTGACACCCCTGCTTTTCATTGGGGGGATGTTGCATCGTCTGCCAAGTCTTTTGCTTTCGTAGTGAGTGATTTTCGTGTGCAAGTTCGTACTAGTCCCTCTAGGATTTTCCAGGTGTATATAATCATGTATCTCTCCCTCCTGCGTTCCAGGGAATACAGGTTCAGGAACCTCAAGCGCTCCCAGTAATTGAGGTGTTTTATCTCCGTTATGCGCGCCGTGAAGGTTCTCTGTACATTTTCTAGGTCAGCAATTTCACCTGCCTTGAAAGGTGCTGTTAGTGTGCAGCAATATTCCAGCCTAGATAGAACAAGTGACCTGAAGAGTGTCATCATGGGCTTGGCATCCCTAGTTTTGAAGGTTCTCATTATCCATCCTGTCATTTTTCTAGCAGATGCGATTGACACAATGTTATGGTCCTTGAAGGTGAGATCCTCCGACATGATCACTCCCAGGTCTTTGACGTTGGTGTTTCGCTCTTTTTTGTGGCCAGATTTGTTTTGTACTCTGATGAAGATTTAATTCCCCCTTTTCGTGTTTACCATATCTGAGTAATTGAAATTTCTCATAGTTAAACTTATATGTTTTCTGCAGCCCACTGAAAAGTTTCGGTTGATGTTCGCTGGAGACTTGCAGTGTCTGCAATGGTAGACACTGATCATTGCAGATTAGGGTGCTCATCTGCAAAGGAAGTCACGGTGTTGCGGCTGACTCCTTGTTCTTTGTCGGATATGAGGATGAGGAAACAAGATGGGAGCGAGTACTGTGCCTTGTGGAACTGAGCTTTTCACGTAGCTGTGCCTCTGACTTTTTCATCTAAGTTGCTACGATATCTCTGTGTTCTGTTAGTGAGGAAATTATTGAATCCATCGAAAGCGACTTTTCCTGTTATCCTTTAGACAACGCATTTTGCTGCTCTATTACGCCATGGTCACACTTGTGGAAGGCTTTTGCAATGTCTGTATATATTAATCTGCTTCTTTTTATCTTTAAGTGCATTTAGGTCTTGTCGTTGTGATCCATTAGTTGAGACAGACAGGTGCGACATGTTCTAACCCATGTTGCCCGGGGTTGTGTAACTGATGGGTTTCTAGAATGGGTGGTGATCTTGCTTCTTAGGGACCCTTTCAAAGTATTTTTATGAATTGGATGTTAGTGTTTCGGTCTGTAAGTTCTTGCTGTTGCATTTACTGGCCCCTTTGTGGAGTGGGGCTATGTCGTTTGATTTTTAGTAAACTGTGGGACTGGCCACCATGTTCCATGCTCCTCCTCCCTGGGGCGAGAGCAATGGGCATGTCAATTATCGCCTTGTTCGTAGTCATTTGGCGTCAGGATAACAATTAGGATAGGCTTTGTTGTTATATTTTTGGTGGCTCTCTCTTAAAAAATTCGTTTGATCTTGACTCTCAGTTGGTTAGAGGCTTGCTAAAAACTGAGTCATATTGGGACTGGTGTTTTTTTTCTTTTGCTCATAATTTCCTTGCTGTAATCTGGTGTGGACCCATTTGTTTAAGTAAGGGGCCCAATACTGGATGTTGTTCTCGACTTTGATATTGGCCATAGAGATGAATACATTTTGGGGTTTTCTTTCGAATTTCATTTATGGATTTTAGTTCTTCCGCGATTCCGACTCCTAATGATGATTCTTTAGATTGATTGAGTTCGATTTGCTTGCCTATTTCTGGACCAGATGTCCTCCCTACGCATTTCAGAGATATTGACTCTTTTAGCGTCTGTTATTTTCTTTTCCGTCGCTGTATGAAGGGAAGCGCCTGTCTCTTTCTCCTTTTACATTCTACTTACTACTTTTTCTTAGTGGAATAAGCCATTGTGACATACATTCGAGCTGCACCAAGTTAATCTGTTCTAGGCATACGTTGGGATCTGTGTTGCTTAGTATATCTTCCCAGCTTATATCGGTTAGGACTTGGTTTACTTGGTCCCACTTTATGTTTTTGTTATTGAAGTTGAATTTGGTGAATGCTCCCTCGTGACTAGTCTCATTATGCCGGTCTGGGGCTCCACGCATACATGTCTGAACCTCAATTATGTTGTGATCTGAGTATATTGTTTTTGATATGGTGACATTTCTTATCAGATCATCATTGTTAGTGAAGATGAGGTCTAGTGTATTCTCCAGGATCAAATTGTAGCTGGCAGGGATAAACCAGCACCTAGCTAGGATATGCCAACACCTAACTAGGGTAAACCAACACCTAACTAGGATAAGCCTTTACCTAACTAGGATAAGCCACTACCTGACTAGCATAAGCTAATACCTGACTAGGATAAGCCAATACTTGACTAGGATAAGGCAGTACCTGACTAGGATAAGCCAATACTTGACTAGGATAAGCCAGTACCTGATTAGGATAATCTAATACCTGACTAGGATAAGCCAGTACCTGATTAGGATAATCTAATACCTGACTAGGATAAGCCACTACCCAACTAGGATAAGCCAATACCTGACTAGGATAAGCCACTACCTAACTAGAATAGGCCAATACCTGATTAGGATAAACCACTACCTAACTAGGGATAATGTGGTGTGTGTATTAATTTTTGCATGACGAATAAGATTGATAATGATGACCCACCTCTCTCTCTCTCTCTCTCATCTAACAGTCAGTAGGTACTTAAGGGGGTCGCATCCTGGGCAAGGCGATACGTATAAGCTAATTTAATTACATTTGCTTCCCCTGTTCACCTAGTAGTCAGTAGGTGCGTCCACAGGTGAGCTGTTTCGCTCACAAGTGGACCATTTCGCTCACAAGTGAGCTGTTTCGCTCACGTGTGAACTGAAGCTCAGAGTGTCTTCTGTACCCACTATTAGAAACATTCCTCTGATAGCTTGATTAAGAATGATAAGCCAGTGATAGTGACCGTTGAAAGTGATGGTTGCTGGTGAAAGTTATGGTTCATAGTGAAGGTGATGGTGAAGATAATGGTTGATGGTGAAGGTGATGGTTGATGGTGAAGGTGATGGTTGATGGTGAACTGGACAAACAAGGCTTGTTCTCTCTCTTTCACCACTATTATAGTCATTCACACGCTGCTGATACCTCAGGTGAGGTAACATTGCTGCTCTGTCCACATTTTCCCATGCCCAGGCACCATCTAGTGTCTGAATTAGTGCTATCTTGCAGGAAATCACGCACAACAACTTTCATTTACAGATTCACAGTGTTTGTGACACTGAATAACGTTTTTTTTTCCAGAACCAGTTTTTCCTTAGTCATCACTAACTTTTCTGTGCAGAACGGGCAATAATAGCCTTATCCAAGCCAGGAACCTAAATAATCACGGCCCACTAGTTCAGCTTTTAAATGTGTGAGAGCTGCTGGTGCTTAGCGATTTGCACTCTTCAGCTGGTTACTCAGCCAATCTAAACCTTTATAGAGACGATCTCCACTTGCAGCACAAGTAGCCTGAATATACCAGTTTCTGTTCCTCAAAGAATGCAAACCTAATTTATCAGTGATCTCTGCGGCATTCATCGCATTTGGGAGATCCTGGAAAAAAAATAAAATATTAAATCATCTGGGATCATAGTGAACCGTTTTAAAAACAAATGTTTACCAAATAAGGCATTAACCTTAATTTGAACCCTTTACATACAAGTTTAATTGTTCACAACTTCAAATTATCAATCATATGCTCTAGGTTTTTTCTTTAAGAAACTGCAGCCAGTAGTGGCATGTACTTTTGAAAGTACAGGGTGTCCACAAACACACTCCCTGATTTCAAACAGATATAACATGTAACTATTGTAATAATCTTTCACAGTTAGTAGCTTCAGATGTAGGATTTCATTCAGTTTCATGTGGTATAGGGTAGCATTAAAAATACTCAAATGTGCGCCACATGAAACTGAATGAAATCCTGCATCTGAAGCTACTAACTGTGAAAGATAATTAAAATAAAGTTACATGTTATACCTGTTTGAAATCAGGGATTGTTGTTTGTGGACACCCTGTACTATACCATGTTCTGTTGAAAACTGAATTCATTGTAATCTAATGGCATGAAGCTACATAGACGGGTTATGCGGCCAGGCTAGATAGCTTATATGTAACGAGGAGTGTGCGGATGATGAGCGTACATACGGTGGATGCTGTATACTCGGATCATAGAGCCGTTTATGAGGACTTGACTTGGGCCGGCTTGCCTAAGAGGTATCCAGGGTATTGGAAGCTGAATGTGAGACTTCTTGGGGTGGAGGAGGTGGGGTTGGATTTCAGGACAATGTGGGAGGATTTGTGGGGAGAGGGTAGGGATGTGGGTGATTTATTGGGGTGGTGGGATGGGGTAGCTAAGGAGAGGATCCGGCAGTTTTATGTGCGATGGGAAAGTACAAGGGTTGGATGACGTATGGGCTGCAACAGTATTTCG